ACCCAGCAGGAACTATTTTGCCCTTATTTCTAATTTTGTTGTAGAGAGAGTATAAGCAATAACAGGAAGGGACAAGGGTTTTTGCTGGTCGAGATAAGGATAGCTATACAGGGTATTGACTCACATTGATTTCCTGTGTGTGGGTGTTACCTTCTAAGTTAATTCTTTTTGATCTAACCTTTTCTCTAGTACCTGTTCCCCTTTTCCTATTGGCCTCAGTTGCATTTAAGGTATCTTCTTTAGTTTCTCTTCGTTAAGGACAACAAATGCTAGCTAATTTTTTAGGTGTCTTACCTATCCTCATCCCTCCCTTGTATGCTCTCGCTTTTTATCATGTGCTCATAGTCTAATCCCCTTGTTGTGTTTGCCCTTGATCTAATGTCCACATATGAGGGAGAACATACGATTTTTGGTCTTTTGGGCCAGGCTAACCTCACTCAGAATGATGTTCTCCAATTCCATCCATTTACCAGTGAATGAAAACATTTCATTCTTCTTCATGGCTGCATAAAATTCCATTGTGTATAGATACCACATTTTCTTAATCCATTCGTCAGTGGTGGGGCATCTTGGCTGTTTCCATAACTTGGCTATTGTGAATAGTTCACTTTGGCATTTATTTAGGGCTCCTATGAGTTCACTTCTTTGTTTTTGTGTCTTCTCATATTCTCCGTTTTTCTTGTCTTAGAATTTCTTGAGAACTTCCTATACATTTTGGTTGACTTTGTCTAGTAACATCTCCATGAAATTCTCAATGATTTCTTGCAGGATTTCTTCTTTCAGAATTGCCTTGTGGGCTTTGTTGGGTTTCTTGGAATAGTCTGTCTGTTTTGTTGGGATCTGGGACTGGATATCTGTTTTCTTCATTAACCTCTGTGTCCAGTACTGAATTAGGAGAATGGTTTCCATACTTTTTTCATCTTTCCTTCATTCTACTTGGTGCTATTGCTAATGCTGTTCTGTGTGTAATTTGGTATTGTCTAACTTACAATATTAAAACTAATAAAATCAGGAAAGGAAGAGAGAAAAGAAAGAGAGAGAAGAAAAAATAAATCAACAGGGAGAGATGATGGACTAACAGTGAACAAGATAAGTACTTAGACAGAAAAAAAAAGAAAAGAAAAAGAAAGAAAAAAGAAAAAAAAAAGAAGAACCAAACAAATCTACAGGGAGAGATGGTGGACTAACACACAGTGAACAAGACAAGCACTTAGAGAGAAAGAAGAAGAAAAAGAAAAGAAATTACAGGTTCAGGAACAGTGGTATTTCAGTCTTAGTAGTTTTGGTGTTTCTCCAACCTCGGCAGCCAGGTACTCCTGCTGGCTGCTTGCTGAAAGTTTGTTTGGGGAGCTGCCCCTCCCCCTCTTCTCCAGTATGCTCAACGGACCCTGCCCTCTCTGCTCTGTGCCCTTTTTATTTCCAGTTTATTGTTCAGGTTTTTTTCCCTTTCTGTGGGGCGGGAGTCAGTCTGTCCAGGGGGCTATGCTGGCCTTTCCCAGGGGTGGCTGTGGGAGTACCGCGTGCCATGTCTCCACTCACCTGTTGGTCCATGTCTCCCAAGCAGGTTTGGAGCTGGCAGTGTCTGATAGCATGGAAGCCCTCCTGTTTTCTCAGTGTAATGTGGCGTGGAGAAGCCCTGTAAGGGCTGGGGGTTTGGGGTGTCTTAGTTTTGCTTTTTCTTGTTGTTTTTTTTCTGCTAAGTATGGCTCCAGTGTCTCAGCAAGATTCCAGATTTATGGAGCTCATGCTGTCAGCTACTTGCCTCTAGTTGGCATCTTGAAACTCCTCCCCTGGCTTGTTTTTGAGATAGGTTCTCATTAAGTTTTTGCCTGAGCTGACCTTGAGCTCCTACCTTCTGTAATTATTGGTCACTGAGCATCTTTGTAAACTATTTTAAATTCTCTGTTGAGCAGAACATACATCTGCATTTCTTAAGGTCAGTTTCAGGAATTCTATTCTGTTTGATCATTTTTTCCTTTTTATTTGTATGACATGTAATTTTTTGCTGGGATTTTGGTGCTTGAGAAAAATATATACCAGTCTTTGCATACTGGCTTCATGCAAGGGAAAACCTTCACCAGTCAGCCTGGTTCCAGGACCAATTTGATCTCTTGTACTCATGGCATCTGCCTGCCAGTTGTAACATGCCACCATGTTAATTTTTGTTTACAGCAGTTTCCAAATTATGCTGCCATTCCCATCAGTACTCTAAGTTAGGCAAAAGATAAATCAGTCATTCAAGCTGCCTCTTAAGTGAGCCAGAACAATGAGTGCATAACCTATTCTTTCATCCTGATTGAGGTGTCCCAGCGTGTGGGATATAGCACTTGTTATGTTGCATGTGGGACCCAGGTGAATGTAAAGTATCGCTTTGCTGAGATTTTGTCTTGGTTTCACGTTGGTCTAGGTGGTATAGATTTTCAGTAGTTCTCTAGTGCTCTCACATGGGTATTCTGGTTCATATTGTCAACTAGGTGTGTCTGTGTGAGAACAAGTGATTAAAACTTCCTACCACCATCCTGACACCACTTCCTCTTTTCAGGAGTTTCTAAGCAATGCTAACAATCCCTTCAGCACTCCACCTGATGCAACACAGAAACAAATATCCTGGACATTGCTAGAATGTGGGATTCACCAACTAGTGTTTTGTTTCCACCCCAGGGAGTTTCTTTGGTGTGTGTTACTTCATCTCAGTTTTACTGCATCCAGCTGGATAGGGAAAGGGACACAGGTGGGTTTGCAAACCATCATGAATTTTCCTATCATTTTCACTGAAATCCTCTCTTGATTTTTATGATGACCTGGGTGTTATGTCTTGTAAAGTGGTCTCTAGAGTTCTCACAGAGGTATTCTGGTCCATATATTCTTTTTAACTCAGTGTTTCTGTGGGAAAGTACAGGAGTGTAGAGCATCCTAATGTTCTGTAATGCAGATACCAGTGTTTCATTGTTTTATGTGAACATTGAATGCATGGTCCACTCTTTCATTTCTGTCTTGATTGAGAAGTGCCACTGTGTGGGAGCTAGCACTGTGCTATGTTGCATAGGTATTGGGGCAAATTTTTATTTACATTTTTAATTATAATATTATTGTTGCATTGGGAGTACATTGTGACATTTACAAAAGTTCTTACAATCTATCATATTTGAATTCACCCCCTCCATCATTCTCCTTTATCCCCTCTACCCACATTCCTGGAATAGTTTCAGCAAGTCTTATTTTTCCAGTTTCATACATGAGTGCATATTTCCAACACATTCATCCTCCTGCATTCTTTCCTGTATTCTCTCCACTCCCACTGGTACCAACCCCCAGACAGGACTGAAGGGGCACAATTAACACAAGTTGAATCTCTAAAATTCCATATAGTGATACATGTTTCGCTATTATTACCATATATAATTCCTTTGGCCCAGTTGAACCACTTTTGCCAATCAACATTTTATTTTCAGACAATTCTAAGTTTATAAGCTTATTTTCAAACATATGTTTATTTAAAAATAAATGTAAGTTTACAGGAAGTTGCAAAAATAGTAGTTCCAAATACCCTCTATTAAGCTTTCTCCAATGGTAACATCTTATATAATTACCAAAACCAAGATATTTACATTGACACAATACTTAACTAGACTACAGGTATAAATCATATTTCACTAGTTTCTTTAGATGTAGAAATGTGTACAGTATGTGTATACACATGTATATGTTTACTTCTGTGCAATTTTATTACACTTGTAGATTCATATAACCATCATCATGGTCAAAATATGGCTCCATCACCATAAAACGTAATTTTAATCCTCCTCCTTTATATAGACATCCACCATCTCCTTCCCCAGCCTTTCTAATCTACTCATTTGCTGTCTATTTTTGTATATTTCAGAATAGCTTGTACATAATCATACAATGTGTAACCATTTGAGCTAGCCAGTTTTCACTCAATACAATGTCCTTAATAGCCATTCAAGCATCATCTTGCTTGTCAATATGGTGAATTATGTTGGCTGATATTCAATAATTAGTATACCAACTCTGTACAATCAGGATAAGTCACACTCAGTAGTGATTCTATGTCCTTAAATAAATTGATCTTTCCCACTCTCCCTCCTTCCCTTCCTTCCTTTCTCCCTCTCTCTGTCTCTCTCTCTCTCTCTCTAGCTCTCTTGTGAGACAAGTTCTTTCCATGTCCAGGCTAGCCTCAAACTTATAATGCCATAGCCTTTTATGTGCTAGAGTTACAGATATGTGCCACAATGCCCAGCAAATGTTTTGTTACATAGATCCATTAAAATTTTGTTTGCGATTTTTGTAACGATGTTCATGGTGGACATGAATCTATAGTTTTGTTTTCTATTCTTATAATGTCCTTGGCTTGTTTTGGAATCACATTAATGCAGATCTTATGTAATGAGTTAGGAAGTACTTACTCCTGTTCAGTTCTTTGTCCTGGCCCAGGCTAGATGCTTAATGCTATTCCACAACTTATTTGAAGTATGGAAAAATGAATTAATGTGGAATAAATAGAGGTCATACTGGGGGGAAATGTAATTTAAGAACCCATAATTAGCAAACACTATGCCATTGACAAAATCAAGCATGATTCACATTCATTTTTCTCTTTACACTTTACTGTGATTTTTGAGGTGGGAATCACTATGACTGACTAACAAGTAAGGAACATGAGAAGTTGCAACTCATACAAAGTATCTTAGCTGAGTGGAGTTTTGATAAACTAAATCCAACATCTACTTTCTTTCATTTCCATATTAAGACAGCCATGATTCCTGACATGGATGGACGAGTATTAACTAAAACCCATCTCTACTGGCTGTGCAGGGCTCTGGGTTTGGGAAAGAAATGCTGTACCTAATGGAGAATATGAAGTACTGCTTTTTCTGAGCATCTTCCTGCAGATGAAGGGCATGGTCACCTTAGGGGAGGGTTCTGTTCTCCATGTGGGATGATATGGAGACATTTTGAAAAGAGGCTTCTCTCTCTTATCACGATGGCACAGGGCAGATGACTATGGGAGTCATATTTTCCTCATATTGTGGATTATGCCGAATGAAAGGCTTCAATAACCCTTCAAACTGATATGTCAGAGTGTAAATGAGGGACTGATCATCCACATTAAAGAATGAGAGGGTCCCACCCTCATAGTCCAGGAAGATACCCACTCGACTGGGATTGGATTCTAGGAAGAGGTAGCTTCTATTGGGATTACTTACAAAATAAAAATTTTCCACCTCTAGTCCAAGAACCCAATACCCATTGTTTGGAGACAAAGTCCCATACTTTTCATTCCTGTCCACATCATCCCGGCATACCCCTAAGTACCACATGTTATTGTTTCCCACACCCACTTCCCAGTAATGTTTCCCAGACTGGAAACCCTGAGTAGCCACCACACACCTTCTCTTAAATCTCTTCTTTGAGCAGGGTACATCCTGGGGATGACTGTTACATATTACAGCTTGCATCTTAGAAATGTAGAGGTTGGGGTGGGCTGTGTCAGGGTCCAAAGTCACTTTCACTAGTCACATAGGGGGAAGGAGAATAAGGATGTGTTACTGTGAGGAAAAGGAGCTTCAGAGGTCACCTATCTCATAGTATACAGATTCAGGTTGGGATTAGGTGAGATCTTGGAGATAGTTTCCATATACACTGCCCTGCCAGAACCTTCCCTCATCTCTAGTACAACCTAGGACCTCACTGACACTTGAAGTCCAGCTGTGAAGTGACAAATTTCTGTGTGTTGTCCTGATTCCACTACTGTCCCTCCATGGACTGGGAAGTATATCTGGGGAAAGATGCACCTGGAGTGGATCACAGATTAGTCATATGCAGGTCATATGGCTCTTAGCATTACTCAGCAACCCCATATATGTCAGTTCCCTCTCCTATGGCTTCCCAAGGCTCTGTCTCACTGTTTCCCCCTCAGCCCTTACCTGCATGTTTCTGGGCTTCTCTGAATTCTGAAAATAAAGAGAAAAACAAGTATGTCATTACTTTCATGGAGAACAGGTAGAAGGGAGAGACTGAAGCTGGTTGCCACTTTGGGGACACAAAACATGATACTACCAATAAGATCTCTTTGTAAACTGTGCCTCACCCAGTATCTGCTGAAAACTTTGACAGTTTCAGAGTCTTCAAAACTTTGAAGCCCATGACAAGGTTGCCCTTTCAGGGATCCAGATAGAAGAGTTCATAAACCCAGGGACATATAAGGAAGACACCAATGGAGGGTGGCTTACCTTCCTTCCATTACCTTCCCTTACCTTCCTGTCTGTGATTTTCTCTCCATTCTGAAACAGAAAACACAGAAGAGAATCAAATCACAGAGCAGGGCCAAGAAGAGCATATGGGAGGAGAGTTCTGCAAGTGACAATGCTCTTACCCAGTTCATTCTGGAGTTTCCCTGAAACAGAAAGCAGAATATTCAGTGGTGATTCAAACCTGGATAAATGTGGAAATAATCAAGGAGTAGAGGGAGACACCCCACAGGTTCCTCAGCATCTTAGATCTGCACACCCTCAGAGAGCACACTAAATCTACTGTTCTCATCCTACATGAATAGGAAAAATTTGTAGATAATTTTAAAAAGTGTCTAGACCCTGATTTCCATATTACAGTTTTGACAATGTTCTTGAGTTCTCTTTAGATTGTAAAAGTCCTTTACAAAGTTCCTGATATCTGAGGATTGGTTTCTTGTTAAATATTGGGGAGAACAAACCAGCTGCTCTCATTGCTGAAGCTGAGCTTTTTGTCCCATGTGGAATCATGATAGGGAACAGATAGCTCACACTGCAGGCTTCAAGAGAAGTGTGTGTGGAAGAGTCCAAACATAACAAGCCACTTACATAATTCTTCCTGACATCTTCCTGCAACAAAAACAAAACATTTAGTGTTCAGCAGAATGATGTATAAGATACAAACACAAACATGGCTCACAACTCAGGTGGGATAAGCAGGGAGTATAAATGACAGGGTCTCTCCTAGAATTCTCCTTCTGTGCCAAATCTCCAATACCTACTGAACATCTTTATCTGGAATCAAATACTATATCAAGATCATCCACCCTGTAGAGAGGGATGGGATTTTATGATTCTGTGGTTGTAAAGGTGGAGGATATCAGGGAGAATTGGCTGAGCTGGGGAGGTATGATTAAGGCATGCACCCTCAGAGGGAAGTGTCACCTCCAAAGAGGAGAAAGTTGGTTCTTGGGGATGAAAACGCTTCTTGAGGGTGAATAGTACTCCATTCTTTTTGTCCACTTTTACATATGTATTATACATATAAGAAATTTCAACTGCAGTGATATATATAATTCAACTACAGTGAAATTTTAAAAAGTTAAATCTTGATGCTCTATAGTTTCTGAAAATCAGTCTTTCCTTAAATCTGGGTCCTCTATAATGTAGGAGAACCCTGGCTATGCTGGTGTTTCCTGAGGGGGTCATTTCAGTCAGCACAGAAGAGGATGAGGACTGTGATCCCTAAGGACCATATCATGGGACTCTGGAGCCCAGGGCTATAAGAACAGAGCCAAATAAGAACAGAGCCAAAGGGTCTGAGAATTCTTGATACCGGCCCAGTAAGAGTATTAATCAGCCACAAGGCTTGCTTTCTTTCTTTCTCCTTTCCTCCCTCCCTCCCTCTCTCTCTCTCACCTACCCTGGGATTTGGAGGATGAAATCCTCACCCCAATGATGCAAACTGCTCCACCAATGCAGAGGACCATCAGTACAATAGAAGCTGGTAACCAGGGTGATGTCTTGAAAAATGTCTCTGAAAAACAGTCCCAGAGACCCCTTAGTGTTTGCTTAGCAGCAAACGTAATTTGACTCTCATTTATGGAATCCTCTTGCATCCCACAGATATTTCTATATAATTTCTTGTACATGTCAAAATGTTTCATTTATGACTGAGTGTGGTGGTGCACCTCTGTAATCCCAGTAATCAGAAGGGTGAGGTAAGAGGATTGTTGAGTTCAAGATCAGCCTGGGCAACACAGTAAGTTCAATGCCAACCTCCATTACATAGCAACATAAAAACCAAAGAAACAAAAACCTTTATATTTTTGAATAAGTCTTTACCCAATTGGATTTTATTTTTCTATCTAAATGAGTTAGAGATTCTACTTCATTTTATTCTAAATGAACAACTGTGCCAGCATCATTTGTTAATGGACTTTTCTTACACACTGTTAGATACATTGTCATATCTGTCTACATTATCTTTCAGTTTAGGCTTGCATATGTGTTCTGACTCTGTTCTGTACCATTGGTCCACTTGTCCATCTCTGTTCCCAAAATGTTTACTGTCTCATTTGTCACAGCCATGAAATACTTACATTTTGTGGTGCTCAAAATTGAACCATGGTTTGTGCATGCTAGGTAAGCAAGTCTACTACTTGAGCCACACTCCTGGCCCTTTTTAATATTTTGCTTTTGAGATATGGTCTCCTGCTATTTTTGCCTAGACTCACCTCAAACTCTCCACCTTCCTGCCTGTGCTGAGACTACCTGTGCACACCACCACACCTGGTCCATATACTAAATATATACTAAATAGAGATTCTCAGTTTGTTCTTACTTGTCTGTGTGTAGGCAATTATTGACCATTTATGCTAACATATAAATTCCTGGAATTGGACTGGGGACATAACTCAGTAGTATGCACTTTCCTATCATGACCAATTTATTTCTGCTCTATCTCTGTTCTTAGTTCTACCTCCAATTTTTTCCTACACTGCTTAATGTGCTATAGTTGGAAACATGTAACTTTAGTTTTGTTAATCTGAAATTTTTGTTTTTGTAAACCATTCTCCTTACTATTTCCATCCTTACGCTCTTCAGTTGATCCTAAAATAAATATCAATACCTAACATGCCAGTCCTTTCACTTCTAATATGAACATTTAATAGGACAATTTAGACTCAGAAAACTACTTTAATTTTACGCATCATGATATGTTGTGATTTTATTACTATCCAGTTGTAAGAACTTTTTAATGACCTTAGGGACTTTTCTCAATGACCCTATCTTTTATAAGCACATTTAAAATTTTTTCAAGCATATAATAATTTCGGATTATTTTTATTATTATCATTTAAGTTAACGTTATGGTTAGAGAGCATTTTCTCATTGACACTATATACTGGCAAATATCTGAAAGCCATGTTATGTGCTTGTACTGGTGAAATTTTGTTAGTGTCCCATGTGTGCTTTAAAATAATGTTTTGGGAGGCTAGAGGTGAAGCTCAGTGATGGAGTGCTTGCCTAGAGTGCATAGGGCCCTGGGTTTGATTGCCAACACTGCAAAGATGTTTTTTAGGGTACTGTCTTCTAATGATCATAAGTTCAAGCTGCTTAATTTATAACTCAAATTGTCAGTATTAGCACTGATTTTTATTTGTTTACCTAATCAGTTTTGGAACACATAAATTATCATTTTTCTTCTGCTTTCATGATATTGGCTTTATAAGTGTAAAATATATATCATATAGTTTATTTATATTTAAAATATTTATATTTCCCTGGTGAATTGACTTTTAATTTTTTATGAAATAATTCTACTTTTTAGTAACTTTTCTTAGAATGTTTTTTTCTTTTCTTGATACCAATATATTTTTTATGGTTTCCTTTGGTTAATATTTGACAGGAATCTCTTTTTCCACTTTTTGTATTTCAATAAAGAATTCACACATTTTAAATATTTTTTCTGTTAATGAAACAACTGGCATTTTTAAACCTAGTCCTATACTTTTTGTCTTTTAACTATATTATTAAGTCTCTTCCCACTAATTGTAATTACTCAAATATTTGGATTAGCATCCATTATTCTGTTAGTTTCTAAATCCTCCCTGAAATCATATAGATTTTTATTCTATTCTGTTTAATTCAGAGAGTTCATCATGAGGGTGATTATATGGTGAAGGAAAATCCCTATACCACTTCTAAGAATTGTAAACAATCCTGTTTTTACCTAATCAAATATTTATAACTTTCTTTTTATACCTCTTTTACCTTGATTTTCAAAACTAATCATTAAAATAAGACAATGCTAAACAATCCTAAGATAGAGTTTCTGTTCCTCTAAAGTGTTACACTGTACAAGCTCCTTTCCACTTACTTCCTATGAGTAGTCTGGATTTCACTTCTCGTTTCTGGTCAGCAAGTTGGATAGAACAGGATATACTACCAGAATTTTTGTGGACTGTAAGGGTGGTCTCCACATGAAACAGACCATGCATGTCTTTGTTCACTTTGAAGTCTGAAGGTAAATCAAGTCCTTCTGGACCTTTCCACTTCGCTATGGGCTGGGATAGCCAACCAGAGGACTGACAGAGTAGCTGAATGCCTCCACCATCATATCCCACGATGGAAATGAGAGGAGATGAGCCCATCTCTGCAGAGTAAACAGAGAAGGAGTGAAAACAATGGTCATATCCCAAGGCCACAGCTGTCCTAAGTCAGGTTCATCAAGGCCAAGCAAAAACGACCTTCCCTCTGTCTCTTGTTCTCTCTCTTACTCATATTCATGTATAACAGTTTTTTAAGCCCTTCACAGCCTATTCATTCCACAAGCATTTAGTGACTAGTACATACATGAGTATCCTTAGTTACCAAATGTGATGAAGTTAATAAGACATATTACTCTTTAATAAGGTACTTGCTGAATAAACAGGGAAATTACTGCAAACAAATAAAAGTGCAATAGTACAAATATAGTCAAGTTAGCACTGAAGACAGAATGAATGACTATTAGGAGAAGTCATAGCTTTCTTGAGGTGACACTTGTGCCCTTCTCTGTCAGATGAATGGGGTTCTATAGCTGGATAAGTGAAATAGATAGAGAACAATTCCTTTACTGTGGGATTGAGAGTGGGCATGCTACAGTGCTTCTCATTAGTATTTTGTATCTCTGGACTGTGATGTACAAGAAAAGGATATGAGTTGAGTCTGGCACAGAATCAGACCATGAAGTGACCACACTGACCCAAGGAATGTGGACCATACCTGCAGGCATAGTAGTTACTGAAACCCTGTAGAGCTGTTGATTGATTTCTACCAGATGTTAGTTATGACTTGACATTATCTTAGAGAACCCCTCTAAAACTTCATGAAATGGGGTTCCAGGATCTCCCAAAGAGATGTGTGCTTAGGCAGACAGACACTGATGTAATTCAGGTGACAGGCAAGAAAGGCAAGAAAAGAGAAAATCTATGAGAAAGGAGAGGTGGAAGCATTAATCATTTGGGAGTTTGGTTCAAAGGACTAATCAGAATCCAGGAGGTTTCTAGTCTAAACTCTAATTGTTATTTGGGGACTAAAGGTAGCACTACATGTAAAGTTAGCATTTATTTGATCATTTGTTATTGCCTATCTCCCAATTCCCAACAGAATTTCCCTCCATGTGCCATTCTATGCCTTGCCCCAGGTCTTGGCCAGTACACAGAGTCATATAAATGTTTAGTGATGGAACAAATGAATTAATGACATAAGTTCTAAGGAAGGGGATTTATATAAGACAGTATAGTCTAATTCTGTCTGAGTTTCTACTAAGTAAAAACTTAAGCCCTGGAAATAACACAAGAGGGAAACATTGGGAAACTCGGAGAGGGGGAAAGATGAAGGTAGAATGTCTAGAGACCTAGAATTGAAGCAGAGCACTCTATTATACACCTCCCCCCACCTACCAATAGAAGTTGTCTCAGGCATTCTCACTTCCTTTCCCAGATCACTATCAACACCAGGCAGACCCAGTACTACTGGGAGAAGAATTGAGCAGAGCCTCACTGACAAGAAAACAGGGGAAGCACTGTTTGTCTGTGTGGTCTAGAGTCTCTCCTGCCTCACCTAGAGATACAGGGAGTCCCATCTGAGAAATCAGATTCTATTTCCACAGGCAGCACTAGAAGTACTCAGCATGAAATTTAGGATTAGCAAATTGTTCAACTATGTAAAAACATCAGAAGGTGTTTAACCACAATTGGCAAAGGCAGACCTGGACCTGAATTCTAAATCTAAAGAGAGTGCTACCTGATTAAATAAATGATTTAACTAGGATTCAGATTATCCTGAAATAATTCCCCAAATGTTATATTTTGAGACAAATCACTAATCATGCTAAGGATCTGAAAAATATCTACTTTGTTGAGAACAGACAATCTACTTAAGCCAAAACCAAGTGAATCACATATTGGAATTATCTGACAAAGAGTTTTAAGTAACTAACACAAAAATGCTTCAACAAATAATTACAATATCTCTTGAAACATATGGAAATACAGAAAAAGGAGTAAAAAAAGACCTATATGGAGTCATAAAAAAGAAATGTAACAACTGAAATAAAGAATTGTTGAATTGGACCAATAGTAAAGTGGAAATGATAGATAAAACAATCAGTGAACTTCAGTAAAGAACAATAGTATTTACTGAATTTTAACTAGGTATCAAGAGAGTTTTTAAAATGCCTGTAAGATGGTATCAAAGGATTCAATGCTTATTTATCAGAATCCCAGAAGGAGAGAAAAAAAAGTGTAGCTGAAAAGAACTTTGACGAAATTATACCTGATAAATTCTCACAGTTGGTGAAAAGGCATAACTAAGAAGCTGAGTAAACAGCAATGAAAAGTCTAAATAAATTCACACTTTGAAATTCTATAATTCAACTGCTATGAATAAAGTCAAAGGGAAAATCTGGAGAGCAACCAGAAAAAAACTGCATTGCTTTTAAAGGAACTTTCATATGAATGAAAGGAGATTTTTTATCAGAAATCTTGGGGGCCTAAAGAAGTGGCCCAATATTAAAATATTATTTTGCAAAGGTCAAAAGAAAAGATCAGGACATAGTCCTAAAGGAAAAGAAGGAGAATTTGTTACTATCAACCCACGCTGCTATCAAACCAAGCATTAAAGGATGACTAAAGGAAATTCCTCAAATAGAAAGGAAATAACAAAAGAAGGAATCTTAGAATAACACTAAGGAATAAAAAACAATGAAACAAAAATAAAGGTAAATACAATAGACTATCCTTTTCATTGGTTTCTTAAGCCATATTTGATGATTAAGACAAAAATTATAACTTAATAGTACAAGAAATCCTCAAGACAATGTCACATAAATGTGGAGAATGTAAAACGAGTCAAGTGAAAATTCCACATTTTACACAAAGTTTTAAGATATCAATATGAACAAATTGTGATAAATTACCTGTGAATACTATAATACCCAGAGCAACTGCTGAGAAATATATACAAAGTGATATACTCAAACACATGACATATAATAAAGATACAATTCAGAAAATGTTCTAGTATCCCACAGAAAATCACGGAGGAGAAAAGAAGCAGAGAATGTTGAAAAAAAGAGTTAAAAAAAGCACAAAAAAACAAAATGGATGACTTAAATGTTAATACATCAACAGTTACCTTAAAGGTAAATGATCTGAATATACCAATTAAAAGTGGTAGAGTACCTGCCAAGCAACTATGAAGCCCTGAATTCAAACTCCAGTACTGCCAAAAATAAAAGGAAAGGATCCACATCAAAAATTAAGAAGCTAAATTGTATCTGTATGTAGAAAAAATGATCTTATATAAAGAAAAATCTAAATTACTGCATCAAACAATCAGCTAGAACTAATAAATGAGATCAGTAAAAGTTATAGTAACAAATTATCACAAAATAAGAAGTTTTGGTCTTTTTGAGGCATGATCTCACTATGTTGCCCAAGTTGACCTCAAACTTGAGATCCTTCTGCCTCCACCTCCTGAGTGCTAGCATCATTTTAAGCTCTAAATCAGTATAATTTTATATATTAACATGATCTCCACAAAAAGAAAACAATTCTACTTAAAACAGTGACTAAAAATTCTTAAGAATAAATTTTAACAAGGAGATTAATGATCTGTACAATGAAAACTACAAAATACTGATGACAGAAATTGAAGGTGACACTAACAAATAGAAAGATACCACATGAACATGAATTAGAAAATTAATATTATAATATCTATATTACTCAAAGATATAGATTCAGGCAACCCCTATCAAATTTTAGTGGCTTTTTCACAGAAATTGAAAAGATAATACTATAATTTTCATAGAACCATAAAAATCTCAGTCAAAAAAATTGAGAGCAAAGCTGGATATAGTACACTATCTGACTCCAAAATATACTAAAAAGATGTGATAATGAAAAATCATGGTACTGGCTTCAAAAATGGACAAATAGATATGTGTAACATGATAAAGAACACAGAAATAAATCCATTCACTTATGGTTAATTAATTTTTGATACAGATGTCAAGACCACATAAAGAAGATAGGTTAGTTTCATTGATAAAAGATTTTGAGAATAATAGATGTACACATGTAGAAGAATGAAATCAAGAACTTTATCTCACACTATATAAAAAAGTGAAAAGTGGATGAGATACTTAAACGTAAGCTTATTAGAAAGATTGTAATACTCTTAAAGGAACACATAAGAGAAAAGCTTCAAGAAATCAGTCTGGAGAAAGATGCTTTTGGCATGCCCCAAAAGCACAGGCAAAAGAGCAAAAATATACATATGGCTTCACATCAAACTAAAAGCTTGTACGCAGGTAAAGAATCAACAGGTTAAAGAGATGATCTAAAAAAGTAGAGAAAATATTTTCAAACCATACATCTGACTAAGGGTTAATATAAAAAAAATAAGGAACTCAAACAACTTATCAGCAAGAAAATAAGTAGCATGATTTAAAATTAGTTAAAGGTCTTGAATAGACATTTTTCAAAGAAGAGATACATGAAAAACAGGTATGTGAAAAAAATGTCTTGCAAAGTCTAGTGCTGAACATCTGTAATCCCAGCACTTGGTAGGCTAAAACAGGAGGATAATGAGTTCAAGGCCAGATGGGCTACATTAGGCGTTCCAGGATACCCTGAGGTACCTACCAAGTCCCTCTCTGAAAACACCAAAAAAAAAAAAAACAAAAAGAAAATGAAAGAAAAAGTTTAACATCATTAACCATTAGGTAGATGCAAACTAAAGCTGCACTGAGAAACTGCCTCACATTTTTTTCTTTTTGACTAGCATCAAAAAAGATGAAAGATAATAAATGCTGGTGAGGATGTGGAGAAAAGTGAACCCTTTTATGCACTGTTGGTGGGAATGTAATTAAGATGAATGTAAGGAAGTAATTAAAGAAAATAGAATGGAATCTCCAAAAAAACCTAAAGTTAGAAGCCAATGTGGTAGTACACATCTGTAATCTCAGCACTTGGGAAGCTGAGGCAGGAGGATTGAGAGTTTGTGGCCAGTCTTGGCTACAAAGAAAGACTCAGTCTAAAAAAATCCCTCCAAAAAACTAAAAATAGGACTGTTACATGATCACCAATCCCATTTCTGGGTTTA